TTTTTTTTTTTTAAGATTTTATTATGTATACAATTATCTGCATGCTTGCTTGCACACCAGAAGAGGGCACCAGATCTCATGATGGATGGTTGTGAGCCACCATGTGGTTGCTGGAAATTGAACTCAGGACCTCTGGAAGAACAGTCAGTGCTCTTCAACTCTGAGGCATCTCTCCAGCCTGAGGGAGTATGTTTTAAAGAAATGAGGTCAAAAGACTTGTTTTCCTGGGGCTTTTCTCACTGCTTTCAGAATTCTCACATCTTGGATCATGTTCTGACGAGGCTTTTCTCCTATTATTATTATTATTTTGAGATATGATGTCTCTACATAGCCCTGGCTGTCCTGGAACTCACTGTGTAGGACAGGCTGGCCTGGAACTCACAGAGATCTGCTTGCCTCCACTTCCAGACTCCTGGGAATAAAGGTTTAAGACACTGCACCTAGCCCTAGACTTTGGGTTTTGCAATATAGATTCGATCAAATTTCCCCTCTAATAAAGTAGTATTAACATGTTTATGCCAGTGGTAATTAGGCAGAAACTCCCTATTTATCAGTACTATATAATACAAATTGTGGTGGCTTGAATAAGGATGGTCCCCACAGGCTCATTATTTGAACGCATGATCCCTACCTAGTTAGTGGAACTGTTCAGGATTAGGATTCATGACTTTATTGGAGGAAATCTTACTGGGGATGGGCTTTGAGGTTTAAAAAGCCCATGCCATTCTTAGTTAGCTTTCTCTGCCTTTCATTCTCTGCCTTCTACTTGTGGATAGGGATGTAAATTCTCAGATACTGCTCCATACCATGCCTGCCTGTTGCCACCGCCGGTGCCCCCCAGCCCCTGTCATGGTCATGACTCACCCTCTGAAACTGTAAGCCCCCAGTAAAACTTTTACAAGTTTGTCTTGGTCATGGTGCTTTGTCACACAATTTAAAAGTAACTAAGATATGAATTATGATTTTTTTCTCTCCCTAAGCAAAAAAAAAAAAAAATGGGGCTTGCCTTTTTTTCTTGTATATAATGCCAATAGGACTAGGCTTCTTATTAAAGGATATAGACATGGACCCTAGATCTGCCATGACAAGTTCTTCACAAGGATTTCATCAAGGTCAGATGAAACCATCCATTCACATATACAACCATAATAATGCAGTTATGATCCTGGCAAGATGGTAATGATGCATTAACTCTTTCCAAGGAGGCATAAATATCTGTTCACCCCAGATAGAGCCACAGACTAAGGTAAGTTGTCCACCAAAGTCCAACTTGATAAGCCAATGAGTTTATCAGGCTTCCTTGCAGTGTGCATCTCCTGCCGCTGCTACAGGAATGTGGGCAAACTCAAGCAGCTGCATTGCTGCCAAGTTCCACCCAATCCTGGATGACAACTTCATGGAAGGGAAGAGTCCCTTGTACATCTTTCAGGCAGCTTGACTAACAGGAGTCTCCTCTCCCCGGTGATTCTTTACTGCTTGTGATGGCTGCCCTCGGTTGTCAAACTGACTACACCTTTAGGACTACACCTAAAACCCACATGGAGGACACAGCCGTGAGGGAATTTTGCTTAATTTGGAGCAGGAAGATCCATTTCTAATTCAGATCTTTGAGGTGGGAAGATGCATTTTAATCCAGGTCTTTGAGATATGGAGAACCACCTCTAATGTGGGCCACACCTTCTGCAGCCTCTGGAGGAAGGAAGCTTTTGCTCCCTACCTGCTTGCTCCCACCTCGCCAGCAAGTGCATCCCTTCACGCGCATTAGAGACTACTTCTTTGAGATTCTGGTGTGTACTGAAGACCAGTTGAGACATCCAGCTTTGTGGACTGAACAACTACTGGATTCTTGGAACTTCTGTTCATAGGCAACCACTGTTGTATTAGCTGGACCACAATCTTTAAGTCATTCTAATAAATTCCATATAGATATACACAGATACATAATCCCATGTGTGTGTGTGTGTGTGTGTGTGTGTGTGTGTGTGTGGGGTGTGTGGGGTGTGTGTGGGGTTGCGTTGGGGTGGGGGGCATGCG